AAGATATAATTAGAGAGGTTAACGGATTCTACCTGACTCTAATTATGAATTATTTATGGAGGATTGATCTATATGCAATGACTATATCAAATGGACACTTCACAGTTTAGAAGTAATTAATGTCTATAATTTTGAGAGTTCAATTCCAAGTTTATAGTGGAGTAACTATTAGAATTAATAGAATTAATTAATTAATTAAAATGTTTAATTAATTATTAATTTTATTGGAGCTCGGGATTATAGGTCCATTAGTTCCCACGCCGTCCTTGTAATTCTACCAGATACAAATGACAAAATGGGAATTTTAAAATTATGGAATTCTAAAATTAAATACTCAAAAAATAATTAATTGAGAATTAATTATTATTTAAATAATGTGATTATTTAAATTTAAATTTGAATCATGAACATAATTTAAATTTATCATTTTAAATTTATTTGATAAGTTATTCAATTTAGAATTCAAATTAAATTTAAGTTTGACTTAAATTCGAATTTGAATTTGAATTAAAATTGGACTATAGGATAAATGATGATTTATCTTCCTTCGCTATCTGTAATTGGTGCCACACACAGGGTAAAAACCCTAAGGGGTGGCCGGCCACAATGGATAAGGAAGAGGGAAATTTTTTGTTCAAAATTCAAATAAGAGATAGAGATTTGATTCCTTTTTGAAGTTTGACTTCTACTCTTTAAATATGAGAATGGTAGAAAATTGTGGATTCAATTTTTTAAAACATTTTTTCTGCCCTAACTGTTAGTGTGGCCGAAATTCTCAAAGGAAAAAGAGAGGAAAATTTTTTCTCCCAAAAAATTCCAAATCGTGCATGCGTTGGTGTTTGTGAAAATTCGAGTGTTTTTAAAACCTGTTTTGTCTCATGTGTGCCCACACACACGTCTACGTGGAATCAAGGAATTGACGTGAAAGACTTTGATTTTTTAAACACAAAGATTGGAGCAAGGATTGTTCGTGGTCAAAGAACTCAAGTTATCATCCGAGTCGGCCTCCAGGTATTTTTTCTAATTGAGTTCTTGACATGTAAATTAATGTGATTAATTTATTTGTGCATAAATTAATATAATCTATAGAGTATCTCAAAAGTTTTATGAAAATTTTTTGTTATACACAATCCGCCTCCCCGCCACGCTTCCGCATCCGAATTCGATTCGGTTACCAACAAAAATTGTCATTCTTCAATGTTGAATTGGGCATCAACGAGAATATCACCACCATAACTGGAAGAATCTATTATGAAAAATAAGAGAGATCGAGAGCACTTTGAGAGAGATTAAGAGAGATCGATAGAGATTTTAGAGAGATTTGAGAGAGATTAAGAGTGATTTGAGAGAAATTGAGAGAAATTAAGAGAGGATAAGAGTTTTTGGGTGAGGAAAATGGTTGGGGGAAGGCCGATATTTATACGGAATTTTTTGGCTTGAAAAAAAAAATTTCCCTAAAAAATTTGGCTCCAACGGTAACTTAAATTCGGTGGGTCGGGTCGGGCTTCGGGTTTCTCGGTTAACGGTAAAAAAATATAGCTGTTGGAGTCGGTCAAAATGGGCGGCGGGTCGGGTCGGGCAGAAATAGCCGTTACATTCAAAAAATCATTCGCAAATCAGGCTAATGGTCAAAAATTTATTTGGATCGGGTTCAGGCATAAAAATTAAGAAATTAACCGCTTTTTTGGATATTCGGGCTTCAGGTCGGGAATTCGCGTACGGTGGAAAAATTTTTAAAAAAGCGGCGGCCAGCGGTCACGGCCTCCCACCGGCAGCGGGGAATGGTTTTTTCTCGGGGTATTTATAGGGAATTTTTTAGCTTGAATTTGGCAGGTCGGGCTTCGGGTTTCTATGTTGACGGTAAAAAATATAGCCGTTGGAGTCGGGCAAAACAAATGGCGGGTCGGGTCAGACATAAATAGTCGTTACATTCAAAAATTCAGTTGCAAATCAGGTTAACGGTCAAAAAATTATTTGGATCGGGTTCAGGTCGGCATAAAAATAAAAAACTATATGTTTTTTTTTGGTATTCAGGCAAAAATCGGGTAAAAATTCAGGCTTCACGTTGGGCATTCGGGTACGGTGGAAAAATTCAAAAAAAAAGGCGACGGCCGGCGGTCACGGCCCCCATCGACAGCAGGCTGCGGGGAATGATTTTTTCTCGGTCGGCAATCACGGCCCCCCACCAATGTCTATAAACTATTCCTTCAAGAGTTCAAGTAAAGTATCATATCAAACTGGAAAAAGAAAGAAAAAGAAAAAAGAAGGTCCACTATCAAACTATGCAGACAGAAAAGGGAATAGAAAACGATGGAGAAAAAGGTGCTTCACACCAGTGATAACATAAACTTTCCCGATCAACAAGTTTATAATGTAAATAATACGGAAAATTCTTTGGTACAAACTACGTAAAAAATCATTATCAACCTAAAAGGGATACCCAAAAAATCTTCCCGAGATTCTTTTAAAGTGACCCGTAAGTAATTAATGTGATAATTAAATGAAAGAAAAATCTTCTTAGAATTCAAAAGAAACTATTATTATTGTACTGGAAAAATGAGTAGACAAATAAGTGGTGGTCGATAGTCCACTCCTTCCGCAGAGGACAAAAAGCTTTCTTGACCGCTGACTCATAACATATCTCAAATTAGAACGATCCACTTCAGCTAAAAAAAAAAAACAAAGAACGATCCACACTGATGTAGGGATTTTTTTTAGGGGACGTGGGGAGTTTTAAATATAATAGTCCTTTTATTTTAATTGTATTGTCATTTATTAAATTAGTTTTATTTTATTATTAGTTTGCCGTTTATTAAAGATTGCCTCAGTTCGGATTGTTCTCTGCAACTCGGGAACATGAAGTTGGAATCGCTAGTAATTGCGGATCAGCATGCCGCGGTGAATTCGTTCCCGGGCCCTGTACACACCGCCCGTCACACCTTGGGAATTGGTTTCGCCCGAAGCATCGGACCAATGATCACCCATGACTTCTGTGTACCACTAGTGCCACATATTCTTATGATTAGATCATCGACCACAGGCACAAAAAAAAGGAAGAACAACCGCTACAGCTTCGCTTCCTTACTTATTTGGTTACTTTATAGTTGGAATAAGGAACATAAGGTGCAAGGCCCTTTTAAGGTTATAAATAATTATATTGTCTATTGCATAAATATACTTGAATATTTGATATTGAACAAAAGTTTTGAGTGTTTTTCTTCAATTAAGGTCTTGTTAATTTCACCGATTTGAGTTTTTAATTTTAGATTTTTACAGTAAAAAACTCTCATAAAATATCACATTTAACTTTTTCTACTACAGTGAAAAACTCTCAAAAAATGTCACATCTCAGCTCAAATTAAAAACTCTTACGCAATTTTTTTCAAAATATTCTCAAAGTTTTAAAACAACTCAAAACACATTTTAATATATATAAAACATATTAAATTACATTTTTCATTCACTTTCGTCTATAAAACTAACCGCCTTGTTGACGTGGCACGTCATTAAACATTAACTGGAGGTATGAAATTCTAATTAAACCTGTAAAAGTGATATAAGGATTAAGAAAATATTAAAGAAAATGTTGAATAATAATAACAAAAAAAAAAACTTGATTAAACTGGATCTTCCCGTGAAGAAGAAAGAAACTCAGAGGAAAAGCTAAAGGGTTGTTTGGTTGTTAGATTTATGTCATGATTTGAATCATGATTCGTAATTCGTTACAGTATTTTTCTCACAAAAAATACACGTAAATGGAAAATAATTTTGAATCATGATTCGTAATTCGTTACAGTATTTTTCTCACAAAAAATACACGTAAATGGAAAATAATTTTGAATCATGATTCGTAATTCGTTACAGTATTTTTCTCACAAAAAATACACGTAAATGGAAAATAATTTTGAATCATGATTCTGAATCTATAAACCAAACGTCTATTAAGACTTCAGCGCAGCGAAGCTACTATAGATGTGATATTGATTTAAGTTTTTAATTTGAGTTAGAATATAATTTTATGTGAGCTTTTTTTATAATAATAAAAAAATTAAATATAATTATTTTTTAAAATTTTTTATTTTAATAAAATTCGAATAGATGAACAGAACTCAAAATATTTTTAAAATTAATGAAAAAAATCTAAGAACTGCCCCAAAATAAGAGGAGGGGCAATTATATTCACATAGGGAAGCTCGCCTCACACTCACTGGCACTGCTCACAACTCCCATTTTTCTCTCTCTCACATCTCTCTGTCTGACCGTGGCAGATCCGACACGCATCCAATCAGAGTGACCCATAACAGAAATAGTGGGCGCCCCCTTATATATAGCTCTCTTACTCGACCATTCCTCTTTTCATCTTCAAACCTCCCATAAATACATACAACAAATAAGGCGAAAAAGAAAACATTTCATTTAGTTTATTTGTTTCGATTTTTGATTGATTGATTTATTTTTTAAGTGGGGCGCTTTGCAGGGTGTGTAAAAATCAAAACTCAAAAAAATCAAAAAAAAAAAAGAAAAAAAAAAAAAAAAGAGAGAAAGGGCTTTGTGGGGATGCTAGAATTTAGCGGGGAGACACCATAAAAAGTACGCTGGCTGTGCTATATAATATATGTGAGGAGGAGGAAGTGGTGGTGGTTGCGGTTGCCGAGGAAGAGGAGACCCAGTTGCTCTTGGAAACAAGAAGAGGAGATTTCCGAGAGCTTCCGATGGCTTCTCATGGCGCCTCCGATCTCGATTCTGGTTCCCGAAAGGTCCACGATGAGGACCACCTCGCCATTGAAGTCCCTGAAACCGCTCATCAGATTAGCAGCGGTTCGTTTCCCTTTCTCATCCAATCCATTTATCTGTTTTTCTTCTTCTTTCCTTTCTTGTTTCTTTTTTTTTTCCCCTTTCTGGTTGCGCATTCGGATTTGGTTTGATTATTATTTATGTTGTTTTGCATGGTAAATTTGTTTTCTTGCTTAAATATGAATCCTTTATTTTGTCGAATCGTATTTTCTTTGTTTCTATGTTGATTCTTATCCTTTTTCCTCTTTCTTTATTGTTTTCGCATGAACAGGAATACATAGACACACATGAATAAATAAATCCACGCACATATGTGTGCTTCTCATTGTTCATATTCATTTGAAAAGATTATGTGAAATTATTTTTTTTTTGTCTATGGGATGAGTAATTAATCAAAAGACTCATGAGGTTTTGATTTTTAATTGCTCTCTCTCTCTCTCTCAAGGCAGAGATGACAAGATAACTAATTTGAGATGTTGGAATTTTTGAAGTTTAGATTCGTGGTTTCAAGTGGGTTTTGTTCTGACCACCGGGATCAACAGTGCATACGTTTTGGGATACTCAGGAACCGTCATGGTTCCTCTGGGTTGGGTATTCGGCGTAGTTGGCCTCATCGCCGCGACGGCGATTTCGCTGTATGCGAATACTCTCGTTGCCAAGCTCCATGAATTTGGTGGGAAAAGGCATATCAGATACAGAGACCTTGCAGGATTTATATACGGTATGTCGAATGAATGTCCAAAAAGAGAGTGACTTTTTGATCCTTCTTTTTGTTGAATTTATCTCGTTTAATTGGTTTATGATTTTTCTTTACAGGGAAGAAAGCTTATTCTCTCACATGGGGGTTGCAGTATGCCAATCTTTTCATGATCAACACTGGATTTATCATCTTGGCGGGTCAAGCACTAAAGGTGAATTTTATTTTGAGTAAAGTTTTGGAGAATTGTGTATAGAGAAATTTCCTAAATGAATTAAAAAACATATCAAATTAAAAAAAATAATAATAAGTATTTAACAGAATCTGATAAAAATATAACGATTTAAAACTGTGCCCTTAATGTTGGTAGCATTATCAGTGATGATCAGTGTTACGGCACTTCTAAGCTTTTTTCATTTATCGATTCTTTATGTTGACTTTTGCGCATGACGGTGACTAATAGCTACCCAAATCAGAGAAAGTCTGGGTGATGATAAGTAAAAATGACTTTCTCAAGGATAAATATTTTTCTTCTTTTACAACACATTTGCTAGTGAAATACTTGCTTGTCCCCCACTCTTCATGTTGATCTGTGCTCATGACAATGATAAACTACCGAAATAAGAAAATTTTGCATGATACAAAGAATAAATAATCCTCAAATAGATTAAGAAGGAACAAATATACTGATGTTAAACTATTATGCTTTTCTTAATATAACATAATTAGTCTGGAGAGCATTTTTCTAGTACACATTCTACCATAAAATTCTCTGTAAACGATTTTTTATTAGTACTTTTTGTTTCGTGAAACATTTTGTGCATATATTTGCCTTGCAGGCTGTGTATGTTCTTTTCAGAGATGACCATTTACTGAAGCTCCCATACTGTATTGCCATAGCTGGGGTTGTTTGTGCACTGTTTGCCATTGGTATACCACACTTATCAGCTCTTCGGATTTGGTTGGGATTTTCAACATTCTTTAGCCTTGTATATATTGTTACAGCATTCGTGTTGTCGCTTCGAGATGGTAATTATAAGCTTGCTCTTTTCTTTTTTGCCATACTTGGATTACCAAGGTTTTCTTTTGTTGAAATTTCCTGCAGCTTTTTCTGTTTTTATTTTTTGTTCTTGTCTGTCCCTTTTTGTTTATTGCTCAAATTGTCATATTTCAAGTTGTTAGCTTGAGCCCCAAATAACTAATAACTTTGATAATGCAGGAATTAAAGCACCAGAAAGGGATTATAACATCCCAGGTACAAGAACAGACAAGATATTCACCACAATCGGAGCAGCTGCAAATCTGGTTTTTGCTTTTAATACAGGAATGCTTCCAGAGATACAGGTAGCTGGACATTAAAAGGATGTTTGGTAGAGGGATTCGTTCCCTGATTCAAATCATGATTCGTGGTTCGCTATAGTATTCTCTCTCATAAAAAATTCACATAAATCGAAAATAATTCGAATCACATGGTTTGAATCCTCTAACCAAACGTCCTCGAAGTCCATGATTTATCTTACTTTTTTGCCTCTCCTTTTAAAACTCACTTCCCTTTTTTTTGTTTTGCTATGTTTTTTCTAACAGGCAACAGTTAGGAAGCCCGTTGTTGGGAACATGCTAAAAGCTCTCTACTTTCAGTTCACAGTCGGAGTTCTTCCCCTGTATGCCGTTGCTTTTATGGGGTACTGGGCTTATGGATCTTCGACTTCGACTTACTTGCTCAACAGTGTCAGTGGTCCGGTTTGGATAAAGGCAGCGGCGAATCTCTCCGCCTTCCTGCAAACAGTGATTGCTCTTCATGTAAATTTTCTCTGTCCTCACTTTTTATTTTTTATTTTTTTTTTCAATCTTTCTGGTTCTTGTTCAAAATTAATAACATCTCCAATTTAGTGCCAAATCAGCGTTTCAATGCTAAATTTTAATAGTTGATTAGGAAAACCATTCATTTTATTTTAAGTGTAGGATGTGTCAAGTTTTTGTCATTTGATTGTATTCATTTTTTTGTTTAATTATTATAATGTTGTCATTTTCATATTATTTAAAATTGTTTTATTTTACAAGTTTCAATATTGTATTTAAAATAGTATTTGTGTATTGGAGTACAAAATAGAAAATCATGTCAAATGATTTCATTTCACACTTTCTAATGTCAAATATAGTATTGACATTGACAATTTTCATTGGAGATGGTCTAATATTTTTCTTGTACTTACAGATATTTGCGAGTCCAATGTACGAATACGTGGATACGAAATTCGGAATTAAAGGAAGTGCATTAGCACTTCACAACTTGGCGTTCAGAATCATGGTAAGAGGTGGATACCTTGCCATTAACACACTGGTTGCGGCCCTTCTGCCATTCCTTGGAGATTTCATGAGCCTCACCGGAGCCATCAGCACATTCCCTCTCACGTTTATCCTCGCAAATCACATGTACTTGGTGGCGAAGAAGAACAAGCTCACTTCTTTGCAGAAGCTCTGGCATTGGCTTAACGTTTGTTTCTTTGGTTTTATGTCTATTACAGCTGCTATTGCAGCCTTGAGGCTCATAGCAGTAGATTCCAAAACTTACCATCTATTTGCTGACCTTTGATAATTGATATTGTGATTGTTTCGTCAAATGTTTTCTCTTCATAGTCATACATCTCGGGTACCAAATTACATATTGCAAATGCCTTCTAACCCCAAAAAAAAAAAAAAAAAAAAAAAGAAAGACATTTGAGTACTGGATAGAAGATTTATAAGTTCCATATAGAGATTTTTGTTTTTTTTTTTTTTTTGAAAACTACCGACGAAAATTCAGTTAAGTGTAGCTTATAAACATTAGAAAGCGACTGAAACAAATAACAAACTCTTGTGGATAAAGAGAGAAGTAAAACACAAGAATTCAAGTTCAAAATTTGTTAACTAGATCCAGAATTTTTTGCCAAATTTGTCTGTTTCACTTAGAGCAGTTTTCTGGTAACTTCGGCCGTTGATTGCTAACCTAGGCCCAACACTAGGATTACTACTTTTTTTTGGCTGAAACTCTTTGCATTTCGAACTCGTTCTGAAATGATTTTATTTTTTGTATAAAAATAAAAATGAAAACGTTTTCAATCTCAGACATAAATTATTTTTAAAAATACGTTTGGTAGTTTTATTAAGAGATTATTTTCAATATAAAAAAACCCATTAATGTCTCTCTATCTGCTCGAGAGAGGAGAAAACAAAACAAAAAATGAAAAATGACTAAAAGTCATTTTTCATTTCTCTCCCATTTTACACTAAACTAAAAAATCGCTTTCATTTCCCTTTTTTGTCTTTAATTATGCCAAATGCCGTTTTAGAATCGTTTTCATTTTTTCTTTCTCGAAAAACATGAAAAACAAAAATAAGAACAATTCCAAACACGGCACTTGATTCTTTTGCTTTCAAAAAAAAAATCTCTTGTTTCTTTTAAATCTCCTTTGATTATAGTCAGTTCACAATCTATCTATTTTTCTTTTTGTCAAAAAGAAAGAATGTAATCTGTTTATAAATTACAGCTAACGTTAAGTATATTTGACCCATGGGGAAATTATAGCAGACAGACCATTTTTAATTAAAAATATTTATGATAAATAGCTTATTTTAAAATAGTTATGGTAAATAATATATTTTAAAATATTCATGATGAATAACATATTTACTATTCAATTACAAAATAAATCTATTCTTATATTTACTTCGCAAAATGAATCATTTACTGTAAATATAACCTTAAAAAGAAGCTATTTAGCTCATTCTCTCATCAATCTATAAGAGAGTATAATTTGAGGTAATGCATGATGGGAAAATGATGATGAGAAATGCTAGCATATTATAACTGTTTGATAGGTGAATTTTACTATCTTATTTTTAATTTAAATATTATTAAAGTATATTAGTAAAATTTACGTGTTAATAATTGTAGAAAGTGAAAGAGAGTGATAACAAAAAGTAATGATATCATTTCTCAAATGATGATAGTAATAGAGTCCACTTATTAAACGTTGGACTATTGGAGGGAGCAGATGGAAGGGTTTTAGAAGAAAATTCAAGGACCCTAATCTCTTCACTTTGGATAATTTTGATAAATACTCTTTGAAAGTGTAAGGATCAAGATTTTCTCTTTATTCTTGATTTATAACTTTTTTAGTTAAATAATTACACTAATAAAAATGTATTTATCAAAATAAAAATCTAAACTCATATACTCTTAAAAATAAATTCTCCATTTTTTCCATCACCTTTTGACTATTTGTCTACCGTTGATAAAATGAAAAAATGATTAACGTTTGGTTCATGGATTCGAATCATGTGATTAGAATCATTTTCGATTTACGTGTGTTATTTGTGAGAAAAAAATACTGTAATAAATCATAAACTATGATTCAAATCATGGTTTGAATCCCCCGATCATAATTGGGCAGTGAAGAACAATAATGGGAAGAAAACGACAATCGAGAATAATGGGAAAAAAAAAGACTATCGTGGGAAAGTAAGATGTCTCAAGTCGTGGACAAAACTTTCCATATAAAAATAATAATAAAAAAAAAGTTGAATTACTAACAGCTATAATTGCTTTTTATTTTTATTTTTTAAAAAGTTATTATAACTTTTATTGCAAACGACAATTAGCTGCAAACAACAACTGCTATAAACAATCCTGGAAAATATACCCCTTTTGTTAACAAAACTCATGCATTTTCTCAAAAAAAAAAAAAAAAAAAAAAAACTCATGCAAGATATGCAAAATTGCAACGTGTGGAATTCAAAATTTTAATAATTTACAAGTAAAAAAATTTTCTATTTACTATGAGATTGTTTGTTAACTATTGATCAGCTTTGTTTTCATTGGATTTCTTACACATACAACCAGCAAGAGGATTTGAGTAGAAGTTCTCTTCCAACTTTTGCGGTTGCCGGGGTTTCTGGCTTCTCACAGATGGTGCTCCAATCCTATTTGCATGGAGGCTCTTAACGGAGGAAGAAAATTCTTCCCAAGTAATGATATTCTCGTCCAATTTATCAATCAATTTCACAAAATTTTTCCTGCATAAAAATTTCCGTTGTAGAAGATGAGAATCACTACGCGTAAATAAGGCGAATAAAGAATTGAGAATAGCAAATAAAAAAATACCTGTCTGGGATAATTGTTTTGCGAAAACCTTCGAAAGTCCTATGCCCTTGCAATGCTCTAGCCATATTTCCGGGATAAGAGTAGACGAAAACATCGCTCTCTAGTGCCACAATATAGTCCATAGCTGCAAGCTGATTTTGAGCATTTTCAAAAGGCTTTAACTCCTCTTCTGTTGCTAAATTGTGTTTGTTGTATAGGTTAGGATACTTGTCTTCAAGATCTCTCATCCCTCGTTGGCCGTAAATTTTTCCTCCGACAACGTAAATCTTTGTGTTCGAAGGATATCCCAGTGCCTCGAGAAACACAGCGACCTCTCTCGGTGTCATCGGACAGTTCCCATGAAGTCGTTGCTCTATCGGGTTGATCTTTTTTTCCTTCCAGTGTTCAATGTTGTACCTCATTTGTTTCAACTCTTCATGCTCAGCTTTGCTTAAATTGTAACTGCAGCCCGTGAAAGCAAGCATATCCTTCTCATATCTACAAACAATTTTTATAAATATGTTGGTTAAAAGAAATAATTCAAAATTAACTATCCGTAAAACTTGTATATTTTTAATAACAACTTTTAGCCACCTTAAGTGAAGAGCTATGAAGGGATTTGTTCTATTGTTCCTCAATCTGTTAACCAGTGTCTTCCCAAGCTGTTCAATTTCTTTTCTGAACCTTAATGCCTCGTACATTGCTCGACAACGAAGCCTTTGAGTCACGCCATTCACATTATTTGCTAGTCGGGAATCTGTGCGCATGAACTCAATCACCTTGTATTTCTTTAGTTTTTTACGCATTTCACCTCTATAATAACTGAGCTGTAAATAATGAAAAAAAAAAAAAAAAAAAAAAAAAACAACACTGTAAATTTAAAGGAAAAATTAAAAAAAAAAAAAAAAAAAAAAAAAAAAAAAAAAAAAAAAAATCATATATTTGCACTTACCCTTGACCAAGAATTTGGATTTAGACGAAAGGGAGTGACTGATTGTAATTCTAAGGGAAGTGACTCTTCAATTCTTATATCACCCTTTAAGACTTCAATGAAATTCTTCCAGTCGAAGATATCTTTAAAACCACTACCAAATCAAAATTCTCAAAATTAAGTAAATCCTTTTCTACAAAATTGTTTTTGCTCATAATTGAGACAGAATAATAAATTAAGTACCCTAGCTCACCTGAAATCGTTCCAATAGGATGTGTGATCTAATGAAGGCAAAATCAAAGTAGCATTCATAAGTTTTGCTACTGCAACCACGTCACTTATCTGCAAATATATAGTTCATTAATTCACCCATATTATTAAGAAATTAAACCCCACAAAAATTGAGAACAATATAATGATGAGACCTTGCTGATAAATTATAATTATGGCATAATTAACTATTAACATGGCTCTTATTACCCCAAGTTTCATTTGATTCAAACCCCCGTTGGCATTAGCCAGGATATAACCATCTGTGGCATTAGCAACTCCTTTTCCTGCAATTTTAAAAATAAATTATGAGTACACTTTTAACTCACAAAGATACAATTAAGTTGGCATTATTGTAAGTTGAGAAACAATTAGATCAAAGAAAGGAAAATTAGCAATAAATTGGGAAAAGTTATTGGATACATACTCTTTTCTGCCTTCGTCCGGTTAATGCATTTTTGGTAATTCTCACTATTTGGTTGCTTCCAAAGATCAGAGCCCTGGTAATATTTCCACGAAATTTAATGAGAACATACACATTAATGAAGTTTACAATATGAATGAAAAATTTAAGCAGTAGTACCATGCACGAGTTACATCAAATAACGTACAATATCATTTACAAATTTTTAAGACTTAATAAGGTATGTTATTTGTTATGTGCAGAAAAATAAAATTTCCAGCTTCACAAGACAAACAACACATGATTTCTTGATATATAGAGAATATTTATTCCTCTAAGAAGCTAAAAACCCTAATTCAACTGGGCAAATATCTTAATTATACTGCTAAGTGATCGGTTGATAAAAATAAAACAAAAAAAATAAAAATAAATAAATGAAAAGGTAATTTTGATTTTTTTAACAAAAGAAATATTAGAAATATATTACGTATTAGCTAATTAATTTCATATTATGAATAACAATCTGACCAGAAAGTTCTCCGACGTCGACGACATATTTTGTGCAACTGTGGCAGGTGGATTGGTGATTCTTTCAGTACTCACCGCAATATGTGGTTGCACCATTGATGTCTCTTCAAATGAAAGTTCAACTAAACTAGCGTTTTTCCTATTTCTGATCAGGACATCTTGAAACGCTTTGATCCATCCAATGAATGACAAGAGCACGAACAACACAAAAATCCAGAAAATCCATCCTCTCATCCGCCTTAACATGAGTTTCGGGAAGCTACGCACCCTGCGCCTTATTATCATGTTTTTCTTTGCTTCTACATGTTGTTTGCATGCGGAATTATGATGTAAAAAAAAAAAAAAAAAAAAAAAAAAAAAAAAAAAAAAAAAAAAAACGAGGAACTGAAGAGGAAGATTAAGTTTCCATTCAAAAAAAGAAGATAAAGAAATACACGTATAATTATCTTTAGCTTCTCATTTTGAATTTGAAAGCTAGATATCAAAAATACGAAATAATGGCAAGGATAACAAATGAAAAATAACGATTATTAGGTTTAAAAGCAAACTAAAATTAGAGTTTTTTTCTTTTTTTTTTTGTGAACATTTTTTTAATAGCGCAAGATATAGGGGAGAGTATTAAAAAAGGATTAATTTAAATTTTATGAATTGTGTTTCATTTATCATATTTAGATATTTTTCTATATATATATATATGTGCAACGGGACTTCTTGTTTATTAAGACGTGCTAAATTAATTAGTTAATTACATCGAGTATTCCTAACTTCTAGCCTTCTATCACTTACTATTATTAATGCATGATTGAGTCACTTTCAAAAAAAATAGCTAGGGTATCTTACCAGCCAGAGAAAAAAAAAAAGAAAAAAAAAAGCTAGCTATATGCGGGATCAGCATAATTTCAGATTAATTTACATATGGACCTTAAAAATAAGCCTAAAGAAAATCCAGTACCGGATAAACTTTACTGATAAAAAAGATTATTAACCTTTTTTTTTTTTTTTGCTTTTTCTCTTTTAATATTAGAAAAAATTTCCACCAGTAAGTCAGTCTAAGATAATCTGTTTTTTTTTTTTTTTTTCAAAAAATTATCCTTTAAAGAACCCTTAAAAAAAGTTATCCCCTACGAAACTTTATAGCATCCACAGTTAATTTTTTTATTTGAAATATTTTTCACAAGCAAGTCGGTCTAACATATAACCAGTTTTTTTTTTTTTTCTTGCATTCTAAATAATTAAGTTTATTCAAACATATCCCATAATGAACCCTCCAAAAATTAAAAAAAAAAAAAACTTACTTGATCCTTTCTTAACTTCAATCTCGGACCACGATAATTAAAGAAATAGAGAAAGAAGAAGAGAAGAATATCTGTATTCAATTAATCATCAAAGTCTAAAGTGAAAAATACAAATACACTCACTATTTATAGACTGATAAATCTGCACAACAATAGGACTCTGAATATAATTCAAACTCAAATAATTCTAAAGTAATCTTAATAAGACTTAAGTAATCTTAATAAGACTCAAATAATCTTAAAAGATAAATATTAAATAAAATAACTTAAAAATAACTCTAATTCTAGAACAATTCTATGATCTCCATTCAAGATCCCACACCCTTCCATTCTTTTTAAGATCTAGATTCTAGTATTTTTATTAGCCCTCTTGATTTCTCATTCGACTAGCCTACCCATCTAATCCTCTAATTGCACGCTCGCTTTTGCGGAAGTCTAAAAACCTGCTTTTAGATCTTCCAAGTTATGCGGTTTTCAGTTATCAATCTTTTTGGAATGTTTTTTCTTGCTTAAGAATATATTACCGTTGGTATAAAATATTATAATAATTGTTGTGTCATTTTGTAGTATAAAACTTGAAAATCATTATAATAATCAGCTATATAATTTGACTATTCTTAAAAAATTAATGTATTTCAATTCCACTTTTTTTTTTTGTTTTAAAAAAATAATAATCCACTTTTAAACTTGCAGCTAGTGTACTGTTATTCAAACCTTTACTTTTTCTAATGAAATTTACAAGAGATAATTACACTATACGTGGTAAAATTTCATTCCTTGAGTCGGGGTTTAGCAAAATTTTTATAATATTCTAAAAGTAGCAAAAATGACATAGTAATTATCATCATGATATCACATATTGTGTATATATAATCATATTATGACAATCATTATGTTAAATGCCATCAAAATTTTGTCATTTTTGTAATATTTTTAATTTTTAATTTTTAATTTTCTTTACTATTCATTGTTATAAGATGAAGAAAATTACATATTCTACCTTTTTAAGTACCCGACTTACTAAAAATATTAAAAAACTCTACTCCTAGACTAGTTCTAATCTAAAAAGTAGAAATATATTGGCTAATGTTAAGAAGTACAAATAAAATGAGCTCCGTTTCAGGAGTATTTTTAAAAGAGACAAGTACGTTACCTGCCACGGGTCTGGACCTTGGATCGAGTTCTACCATAAGTACATAAATTATTGCATTTTCTACGACAATTTTTTTAGACTAAAATACCCATAAGTCAATTAGGGTTTTATTATTATTATTATTATTATTATTATTATTTCCTCTCTCTACCTCTCTTCCAGCTGTTCTATGCA